CGGGGGGGTCCTCAAAATCCTGACCGCTCTAGATCGCCCCATGATTTCCACTGGACGCCACCGCACAGCCAGGAGGGCCCAAGAGGCCTTGACGGCCCGCGGTGGCGCTGACTGCTGGGGACTCCCCAGCGCGTCTCGCAGGCCGCGCTGAGACGCGGGCACTTCAATGCGAGGCGACAGCTCGGGCGGGTGTGGTACCATGGCGACGTCGGCAAAAGCAGACACGACGATGACAGTAGCGATGCTGGTGACGCCGATGATGATGACGACGACGTCAAGGCCAATGACGGCGCCGATGCTGATCACGCCGATGACGACGATGGTGTCCGCGTGTCGGTGATGAAGGTTCTGGAAAGATTTCGACATGCGCGCGCGGCCGACGGGCGCGAGTGGCCCGCATAATATTATTCGACAGGGATCATGCCCCCGATCCCCCCAGCACGCGCGCAAGGGCGGTCGAATGATTCCGACATGCACGCGCGAGAGACCCGCTTAGTCGCATTTGGTGAACGAACAGGACCCCGGCGCGACCCCAGTAGGGGAAAGTTACCCATTACATGGGCGCAAAGCTTGGCATTGCTTGGCATTGTTTGGCATTGCTTGGCGTTGCTTGGCATTGCTTGGAACGGACACGGCAATGATACGACGGGGAATCTGGGGAACCCAAGGAACCCGAAGAATCCAGGGAACCCTGGGAACCCGAAGAACCCGAGGAACCCAGGGAGCCCAGGGAACCTGGGGAATCTGAGGAATCCGGGGACGCCATGTTGCCGCCTGCCGCCTCGTGGGCAGAGGGTCGGTCTGGGGAAGCTTCGCCACGTCGCCGCCCGTGGCCGCTCCGTTGCCGCCTCCCGCGTGCACCACGTGCATTCTCACTCCAGAAGATGCACAGATTACACCCCCAACTTCCCCCAGGGTTGGCGGGCCCCCCTTGGACACGGCAATGACATTTGAGTCCGCACCATAGCCTATCTTCCAAGTGAAATCATACCACTCCAGGCGATCGGTCAGCGACCCCCCTTCATCCCTATCAAATAAAACCATGCGCGCGCACTCGTTTATCTCAAAAGATAATGTTGCAACACATTCTGGCAGCAAGCACGACAAAGTCCACACGCGCGTGCATGCCGAGATCATACCACACGCAGTAGTAACGCAGACACCTCTCCATAAAACATAAGCATCATTTGGTTTTATGCCTTCTGGAGATGAAGCGGGCTCACCTCAAGAGATCCCAGGGACGGCATCTTCAAAAGGAAACGCGCCAAATTCGCAACGGCCACTTGCACAGAGTAAGCCTGGGTACCTTGAAAAACCTCGTCGAGGATCTACATATTTTTGCTGGGGGCCTCGAGGCACCGGCAGAAACCTCTCGTGACAGATCCGCTTTCCATCCGCCCGTCCTTCTCGTGCGCCTCGATGAGCAGCTCCTGCAGCACCAGGAACAGCAGCGCCACCAGAGAGAAGGCGATAAGGCCGCAGAAGGCGGGGCTGTGCTCCTGAGGGACAACGTTCGGGGGGGACTGGCTCAAAGGGGGGAAACGTCGAACTGGAATTTGCATCACATCGCCGATAGAACGGCGATAGGCCTTCGATAGCGAAACCTCACGTTCCTGGGCTCCGGGGCGGGGTGGGTTGTGGGGCCGCTATGGGTGAGCAATGGGCGACCGGCGGTCGATGCATCCCCCCCCTGAGCCTGCCCCTCCCTCACCCGGCTGCCCCGCTACGCAATACGCAACACGCAGCGTGCCGTCGCGGAGCTCAACACGTAGAACGAAAACGCAGTTCTTGAAGGGGCCCTGGGACACACAAATAGATACACACAAATAAAAATATCCCCCATATTTTTCCATATTTTCTGGGTTTTTGTCTTCCCCCTCACTTCCCATATTTTCCTATATTTTCCTGGGAGTGGACGATTAATTGTGTCTGTGTGTTTCTTCTCCTCCTGAGTTCTGGCGCGGTGCGTTCGCCAGAACCTGGGACAGAGCGGGTGCCGAGCCAGCACGCGGCGTGTCAACACGGACGCTTCGAGCACGGCACGTGTTGCGCTGCACCCCGGGCGTGCCAGGGCAGCCGAGCTCCCGGACCTTGCCCCACCAGCTCCAGCCGTGCCGCAGCGGCCGAGGCCGCGACGGAAGCGGCGACCATCGCCAAAGGCGGCACCGCGAGCACGGGCACGAACGCCCGGCACCGCAGGGCCTTGACGAGCGAGCACGCGAACGAGTAGCCCAAGAACCCCATCTCGAGCGCGGTGGCAGTCGCCATCAGCACGCCGCCGGTGGCGGTCTCCGCGCTGGCCAGGCCGATCAACGTGCCGTCCACCATGCTGTCGACTACCACCGCCACGACCAGGCCGCGAGGAAACGCCGCCGCTGCCCCACCGTCGCCGTCCTCGGCGTCCTCCTCCCGGTCTATGCGAGCGGGGGCCCAGCGCCGGAACGTGGCCCGCTCGGCGTGCGAGTGGATGTGGCGGATGTCTCCCTCGATGACCCGCAGCTGGCCCTCCACGCCCTCGGGCCGCGACAGGTCCGCGAGCCTCAGCTGCTGCGCGTGGCGGTTGAGCTCGGCGGTGTGGTGGCGGAGCCGCGCCTTGTTGTGCGTGTCGAATGGGTCCGCTCCCCTGCAGATTCGGCGGGTGGAATCGACCAGGAAGTCGATGCCGTGCACTTCTTCGTCTACGGCGTCGGTGTCCACCTCGTGCTGCCCCGCCAGCTCGGAGAGCTTGGTCGAGTGCGCCTGCAGGCGCGCGAACGCGATGCGCAGCTTCGCGCTCTCCTCCTGCAAAGGGGCGCCAGCTAGCCGCCTACACCCAGGTCGCCCAACTTCACGCTTCGCGCCGCGCTTCGCGCCGCGCGAAGCGCACAGCACGGTTATCTCAGAAGAGGAAAAGTCGGCATAAACATAAACTGTTGGCGCTCCGCGCAGATTTCTTCGATCTGCGCTGGACCCCCCTCCCTGGCGCGCGGAGGGCGCTGGGGGCGACGCCGGAGGCGCCGCCGGAGGCGCCGTGGGTGGGTGGGGCCCAGAGCGGATCCAAGAAGTCCGCGCGGAGCGCCAAACATTTATGCTTTTTGCGCTGATGATTATCATTATCATCATCATCATCATCATCATCATCATCATCATCATCATCATCATCATCATCATCGTCATCATCATCATCATCATCATCATCATCATCATCATAATCATTATTATTATTACTACTACTATTACTATTATTATATTAGTATTACTATTATCATTCTTAGTATCATTATTACTACTATTAGCAATATTATGAGTATTACTACTACTATGATGATTCGTCGTATCATTCATATTATTATTACGACCATTATCATTATGATTACAATTAATATTGGTCTTATGGATATTAGTATAAGTATTATTGATTTTACGATTATTACTAGTATGATTATAAGTGTGTATTTTCTCATACTTCTTCTAAGTCTTCTTCTCCTTCTCATTATTATCATGTTTCGAGCCTAGGCCGTGACGTGCGAAGCGAGATCAGCTTCGCGCCCCTGCAGGCGACCTACTGAGCACACCGATCCTGGCCTGGCCAGGATCTGGGTAGGTGGATGGTTGGCCAAAGGCCTCCATGGATGGGGTCCGAGCACCGAGACGCATCGCCGATGCATCGGCGACGTCGGCAATGCGTCGGCGCTATCGGCGTGGAGATACAAACATAAAAAACGCCATACACATAAACTTTTGCCGCTCCGCGCGGAGTGCCGAAAGTTTATGTTTATGGCGTTTATTTCTCTTCGACTATCAGCGTGAAGAAATTCGGACTCCACATCGAGCCGCATCGTCGATGCATCGGCGATGCGGAGCGACCCTTCGACCACGTCTGCTCGGGCCCCATCTGGGAGGCCAAGATTGGCGCCCACTGGTCCTCTCTGATGCTCGACTTGCCCTGGCCAACCCAGACGTGCCCCGGGGTGTTCTCGCCCGTTCCCTCCTCGCCTGCCGTGGACTCGCCCTCCCCGTCGTCCTCGCCGTCCAGCGCCTTCATGCCTCGATGTCCATTCCTCCTCCTCCTCCTCCTCCTCCTCCTCCTCCTCCTCCTCCTCCTCCTCTTGTATCTTCCCGTTGCCTCGCGACTTGACCCAATGCCTCCCGACTTGACCCAAATTAGCTCGAGCTGCCCTCCAACGGCCCAGAGCTTCAGAGAGCTGAGGGAAACACACAGAACACCCGAACACATCCGATGACATCCGAGAACCTTCGAAGACATGGGAAACGTCGAGAGGCGTCCGAAAGTCACCGAGGACGTCCGAAAACTGCGGGGGGGCCACCCGAAAACCCGAAAACCTCCGATGACACCAAAGAACCTTCGAAGACACGGGACGAAACGTTGAACGGTACCTGAAAGTCACCGAGGATGTCCGAAAACTGCTGGGGGGCCACCCGAAAACAAACAACGACAACCAACGTGTTTCCTGAGCCCCCCGAGAGGCTCGCTGGGCTTCTTGGAGGGCCCCCTTCAGCAGCTGAGCCCCCAGGAGGCCCCCAAGAGAGCCCTGAAGGCCCTAAGGAGGTCCCCAAACGGCCCCCAATAGGCATCAAAACTGCCTCCGAGAGGCCCTCGAAGGGCCTCCCACGAGATCCAAACGAACATCCGCGTCGGCCTGGGAGCGCGCCCTGACCATACTATCCCGTGGCGAAGGAGTGCCCCGAGAAATCGGTCCAAAAGCCGAGCTTTGGGGTGCCCGGTGGGAAGCAAGCTGGGTCGGCTACACGCAAGAGTGATCGTGGGAAACTAAGAGTGACCTTTGCACGGAAGGAGGGAGGGAGGGAGGGAGAGAGAGAGAGAGAGGGAGGAAGGCAGGGAGGGAGGGAGGGAGGGAGGGAGGGAGGGGGAGGAGGAGGAGGAGGAAAGGAGGAGGGAGGAGGGAGGAGGGAGGAGGAAGGAGGGAGGAGGGAGGAGGGAGGAGGGAGGAGAGGAGAAGAGGGAGAGAGAGAAGGAGGAGGAGGAGGAGGAGAAGGAGGAGGAGGAGGAGGAGGGGAGGAGAAGGAGGAGGAGGGAAGGAAAAGGAATAAGGAGGGAAGGAGGGAATGAGGAAGGAGGGAAGAAGGACGAGGAGGATGACCAATGTAAACCCAAGAGTCATCAACGATATTCGAATTAACCCTCCCTCCAAGCTCCCTCTTCATAGGCCCCTACAACGGTTCATTTCCATTGAGGAAACTGCCTCGTTGGAAGATAACCGTTTTAAGACCCTGAAGCATGCCAAAATATTGTTCTCGGGATTTGCACGCCACGGATCAACCTGACTGCTGCGTCTTGACGATCCGGAATCGTGACGGAACGCCATCTTTGGGACTTCAGCACCGCGAATCAACAAAACTGTTGCACCCGCATAACCCTGAATCCTTCCAAAACACGATTTCTGATAGGCTGGTCATGGGAATCCGTGAAACTCTTGCAACTGTTTAAACGAATGTGCGCGGCGCTAGGGCGAGAACAACATGTTGAAAACCACCCGCCCTCAATCCGTGAAACTCTTACAAGTTCTTGAAACGAATGTGCGCGGCGCTAAGGCGAGAACCACGTTTTGAAAACCGCCCGCCCTCAATTCGTGAAACTGTTGCAAATGTTTAAAACGAGTGCGCGCGGCGCAAAGGCGAGAACCACATTTTTGAAACGGCCCGCCCTCAATCCGTGAAACTCTTGCAACTTGTCAAAGCGAATGTGCGCGGCGCTAAGACGATAACCACATTTGAAAAAAATGCCCTCAATCCGTGAAGCCCTTGCAAATTCTTAAAACGAATGTGCGCGGCGCCAACTGCGAGAGCCACATTTTGAAAAGGAGCCGCGCTCAATCCGCGAAACGGTTGCCACTTGTTAAGCTTCAGGATCATACATGGTGAGAAAATCTCAAACGAAACGCCCGGACCGCCCTAAAAACTGACCTCGGGGTGTGACAGGGAGAAATTATTTATAAGGAAAGGAATGGAGAACGCGGAGGAGGAGGAGGAGGAGGAGGAGGAGGAGGATGAGGAGGAGGAGGAGGGAGGAGGAGGGGAGGAGGAGGGGTGGAGGAGGAGGAAAGAGGAGGAGGAGGAGGAGAAGGAGAGGGAGGGAGGAGGAAAGGGAGGAGGAGGAGGAGGAGGAGGAGGAGAAGCAGCTCGGCAACGGCTATGAAGGTACCGCCACATCAAAACATGCATCGAAGCAAACTCCAGCCTTCGGGGGGCGGCACGACCTGCCGTCGGTGCTCCCGCGCTCGACCCCCGAGAGAGTCAGCCTCGTCCCGAGAACTGAACCCGATGAAGAGGAGGAGGAGGAAGAGGAGGGAGGGAGGGAGGGAGGGAGGGAGGGAGGGAGGGAGGGAGGGGGGGAGAGAGGATCGAGGATTGCCTTTTCTAAACGTTGGATGTCTGGGCTCGTCCCACCAAGGCCAGACCGACACCTCCAGGGGTGCGTTCCGGCCACGGCCTCCGGGCGAGTGCAGCAGAGGCGACGAGCAGCCCCCCGGAGGAGCACCCACAGAGGCAGCCGGGTGTCTCCGGAAACGTCGGTGTCCCTGCGGGCCGCTGCGAAGTACCTCCGTCCGGACCTTGGCCTCCGGGCGGTGGAGGCCTGCCCCCCTGGAGTCAAACATGCGGGACCTGCTCTGGAACAGGAGTATGCCGTAGACGGATCTACACCACGCGAAATGATTAAGAAATCATGGGTTAAGAAATTAATGGTCTCAGAACTTGAATAAAAACCCAAAAATTCGATCAAAATCTTAGGATTTACATTGAAACGTTAAGAATAATCGAGACTCTGGCCGAAAACTTAAGTTTTCTTAAGCATCGCCTAAGGTGTACCCCTCTCTCCGACCTCTCACCGCGCCGAACGCCACTGCCACGCTGTCCATGGACGCATCCATCCCGAAAGTGTCTGGACGTCACGGCACCCAATGTGTCCAGAGACGCCTTTGGCTCATTGGGACGTGGGAACGGTACTTGGCATCGGCCCCAGATGTTGGTCTTCTAGAAGCAGGTAGGCTTGGCCCTCCACCCCCCCCTTCCTCAAAATCGCTCCTGGGCCTCCCCGAGGGGTGCGTTCTGAGCAAAAAGGTTTCAGAGGGGAGTCCAGCCGTGGCGACGGAGAAGCCTCCCGGCGGCCCAGCGAAGGCAGAAAAGCATCCACAAGGGCCTCCTCTCTGCCTGCACGTCGGCGGCGAGCGACGGGGGGGGGAATGAGAAGGCGAAGGCCTTCTCAGAAGGCGGCGGGGCTTCTCAGAGGCCTTCTGAAAGGCTTTCTGCGCCTCTTGGGGGAAGGCTCAGAAAACTTCTCGGGAGGCCATGGGAGCTTCCGAGCCCTCTTAGACGGCATTCTCCTTCTCACTTCCCCCTGGGCTCGCCGCCGATCATTCGTCCCCTCCCCCGGAGGCGTGGCCGTACATCAGCAGCAGTGCCAGGGCGAAGCCGAGCAGCGCCGCGAGGAGGCTGGCCCAGCGGACGCCGCCGGCACGGGCGTCCGCCAGGCGCGCACTCGCAGGGAGGCGACGTCATCGTCGTCGTTGTCGTCGACGTTGTCGTTGTCGTCGTCGTCGACGTCGCTTCGGGACAATCTTTGGCGCCTCTGTGGTTTTCTCGTCGCAGCGGCTGGGCGCAGCTCGTAAAGCTGGCCAGGATGGACCCCGGGAGGGGCCTGGAAGGCGACGGCGACGGCGACGACGACGGCGACGACGACGGCGACGGCGAGGACGACCACCACGACGACAACGACGACGACGACGACGACGACGACGACGACGACGACGACGACGACGACGACGACGACGGCGGCGGCGGCGGCGGCGGCGGCGGCGGCGGCGAGGACCTTCTTATTTCGTTTTCTCCAGCAAGCGCATCTTCTGGAGAGAGGCAGGGGGAAACGAACGGGGCAAGCGCGACGAAGGCGAAAGGGGAAGGCGCGACGAAGGCGAGAGGGGAGGGCGCGACGAGGCGAAAGGGGCAGGAGCGACGAGGCGACGGCGACGTCGGAACCTCGCCGCCGTCGACGAGGATCTATGCGATTTCGCCCTTGCTGGGCCTCCAGAGCGGCCATCCTCGGCGCCTCGGCTGGGTCCACCTCGAGAGAACGGTCAGGGCGCGCCCCTGTAGAGACCCGCTGGCCGCCGACGGCAGACATCCCCAGTCGCCCGTTCCGTGGTGGTCGTCGTCGTCGTCGTCGCCATCGTCGCCTCCTGCTCCTGCTCCAGTCCCGTCTCCTCTTCCAGTTCCTGCTGGTCCTCCTCCTCCTCCTCTTCCTCCTCCTCTTCCTCCTCCTCCTTTTCCTCCTCTTCCTCCTCCTCCTCCTCTTCCTCCTCCTCCTCCTCCTCCTCCTCCTCCTTCTCCCCCCCTGTCGCACCCCCAGACGTGTTGGTAGGGCGGGCCGGGCGTTTTGCTGGAGACTTCCTCACGATCTACGATCTTGAAGCTTGAGATTTGCAACAGTTTCACGGACGGAGAGCGGTACCTTTTCAAAGTGTGACTCTCGCCTCAGCGCCGAGCACATTCGTCTTGAGATCTTGCAGAATTCCACAGATAGAAAGCGACTCCTTTTCAAACGTGTGGCTCTAGCCTTCGCACCGAGCGCATTCGTGTTAAAAGCCTCCAACTGCTTCTTCACGGATGGAGGTCGGCTCATTTTCAAAATCCCACCAGCCCTTTGGGCGTGAGTGGTTTAGAGAGCCCGCTCTGTCCTCAACCCCCCCTTCTTCCCCTTCGGGGAGGGGTTTACCCCTCCCCCTACCCCCTCCCCCTGGACCTGGAGAGGGGGCCCGGGGTCGTCGTTTTTTGGCCCCGACGGGGGGACGGAGATAGGCCCCTCTGCTCTTCTTTGAAGCCAAAATCATTGATTTTACTACGGTTTTGGCCCCATTTTGGCCTCCTGCGGGGGCCGCGCTCATCTTCCTTCATAGCAAAATCATTGATTTTACGAAGGTTTTGGCCTCAGTTTCTCCTTCTCAGGGGGCAGCGCTCCTTTGCGCTTCTGAGGAGGTCGCAAGAGGCCCCAAGATGGCCCCAAGAGGCCCCCAGGAGCCTCCCAAGAGGCCTCCAAGAGGCCCCCAAGAGGCCCCCAAGAGGCCCCAAGACGCCCATAAGAGGCGCCCAAGAGGCCCCCAAGAGGCCTCCAGAGGCCCCACGAGGCCCCCAAGAGGCCCCCAAGAGGCCCCCAAGAGGCCCCCAAGAGGCCCCAAGAGGCTCCAAGAGGCTCCCAGGAGGCCCCACGAGGAGCCCGAACGACTCACACCAGGACGAGGGGCCCGAACGACTCACGCCACGAAGAGCCCGAACGACTCACACCACAAGGAGGGGCCCGAACGACTCACACCAGGACGAGGCGCCCGAACGACTCACACCACGAGGAGCCCGAACGACTCACACCACGACGCGGGCCCCGAACGACTCACACCACGAGGAGCCCGAACGAGTCACACCAGGAGGAGGGGCCCGAACGACTCACACCAGGATGAGGGGCCCGAACAACTCACACCACGAGAAGCCCGAACGACTCACACCAGGACGAAGAGCCCGAACGACTCACACCACGAAGAGCCCGAACGACTCACACCAGGACGAGAAACCCCAAACGACTCAAATCACGAGGAGCGCTTTCTCTCCCTCCTCCTCAGCCTCGTCCTTTTCCCGCTCCCCCCACAAGGAGGATGTACAAGGAGGCGGGAGGAAGGAGGAACAGGGGAGATATGCGGGGCCAAGCGGACGCACGCCTGAAAAACACGACTGTCGGCATGCTTCGCAAGAGTTGCTGCTGTGAGATGGGCTGGTGGGGATACGCGGAGCGTAAAGAATTTGGTTCTCGCCAAAGCGACGCACGCATTCGTTTTAAAAGTGTACAGCATCTTCAAGGATACGTATTGTTGAAGTGCCAAGAATTATGTTCTGGCACGTTTTAGGATTTATAGAAGCAACAGTCATGTTGGTTCGAGGTGCTGATGTCCCAGGGACTGTGTCCTGGCACCATATGGCACGATTTAAGATTGCCAGGGCGCATCGGTCACGTTGATTCGAAGCGCATACGGGGAACTACGATTTGGAACGGTTGAAAATTCCCAAACAATTGCCCTCCAATGGGACACTTCCCGTAATGGTCATATTGCAGAGACCTGTGCAGAGGGAACCAGAGGGTTGATGCCTCTCGGGATTGCACTGGTCCTCCTCCTCCCCCCTCCTCCCCTCCTTCTCCTCCTTCTGCTTCTCCTCCTCCTCCTCCTTAACGATCCCCCTCCTCCTCCTCCTCCTCCTCCTCCTCCTCCTCCTGCTCCCCCCCCTCCCTGCTTTTTCCTAGCTGCGTCCTCCTCTCTGCTCCGTCGTCCCCCCTCCTTCCACCTTCTCTCCCTGCCTCCCTCCCTCCATCCTTCCACGTTCCTCCTCTCCATCCTCCTCCTCCTCCTCCTCCTCCCTCAAGCCACTTGGGCTCAAGAAAGCATCTTGCACACGAGCTCGCTCCTGTACCTTATCGGGGTGCTTGCGTAACTTCTCCCGAGCCTACTGCCAACAGGCGGGGAGACGACGAAAGCAGGATATTAATTATGGGGATCACACGCCCTTGGAGTCATTGCGCAGCGTGCAAGAAGCCTGAGTAAAACGACAAGCTTGAGAATAATAGCTGCAAATGCGGCCACTGCGGTAAGAAGGTGCGTCTCTTCCGTCCGCGTTCGGCATCGCCCGCAGGAAGCACAGGTAGCAGCAAGAGCGTGTCATTCGCCACTCAGGTGGACATCATTGACGCTGGCGTGCGTACCAGCTCCAAGCAAGACATGGTTCGTTCCCGCGCATCACGGACGGCGGCGTCCAAGGAGAGGGCTGGGAAGCATAACCTCGCCAAGCTTCTGGACCAGGCCGCCGAGGCTGCCGACACCATCGAGGCGAAGCAGGTTATCGAGGAGCAGTGTCAGAAGTTGGCGGAGCGCAGCGCGCTGGGGGCCACCAAGTCGGAGACCGAGATCGTTCGCCAAGCGGAGCTTGGCGCGCGGCAGCGCACCATCACGAGCAACTCGTCACGCGGGTCCTCCGCCTGCTCTCGCAGTTGCAGAACGCTGGGAGCAAGGAGAAGATGGCCTCGCTCGAGCTGGCCCGCGCGGAGCAGGCCAAGAAGACGGCCACCCAGGCGCTGGCGCGCGCGGAGGGGATCCCAACGGGCGTGAAGACGACGGGGAGTGACGCCAAGGCGGGCAAGGGCGACCCCGCCCTTGAGTTGCACATCAGCAGCGAGGTGTTCGATAAGTTCACGGAGCGGGAGTGCGACGAGACTGGCAAGCAACGACTCCGCGCGCTCAAGTCCCAGCTGGAGGGCTACGAGAAGGAGTTCGCCACGAAGGAGAGCGAGCTGAAAGCCAACCTTGACAGGGTCGCGACGGGCGAGCGAGAGGTGGCCGAGCGTATGATCAAGAAGAGGAAGTGCGATGGCAACCACGAGAAGAAGGATGTGGCGATGGAGACGGAGAACGGGCCCAAGACCGAGAAGGTCAACGGCCCCGCCCAGGTCGAGCCCAAGGGCGCGACGTCCACAGGCGACACCAAAGGCAAGTTCATGGGCGACACCAAGGCCAAAGACAACACCAACAACGACGAGGAGATACTGAAACGGGAGGTCGCCAGGCTGTCGGCAGCTCGCTCCGCCGCGGCCGCTGCCGTCGCCAGCGGAGGCCCCTCGGGCGGCACCGCGAGCGCAGGCCCTTCAGATGGCGGCGCGAGGGCGACGGCGGCCAGCGGCGAGGCTGCCGAGGGGGCGTCCGTCGGTGACCAGCCCGACGACACCGAGCTGTGACTAGGGCCTCGTCCAGGGGGCCAGCCGCGCGAGGTGGGCGCCACCTCGCCTACCAATGCCAAGCGCGGCCGCACCGGGTGCATCCCCGATCGCGGGAAGTGCGACTGCGTCTGCGACGACGCGAGTCTCACGCGAGAACGTGGCTTGTATGGGCGACAAAGCTTGGGAGCACGTGTGTGCTCAGTCTAAAACGCATGCCTACTTGCCGGTGGTGGAATCACATGCGCGTGCCAGCGATGCTCCCAAGCGGGCGTCCAAAGCACGCGGCCGAGCCCTGGGGCTTTCCGCAAATGGCGCTAAGCCCAAGTCGAGATGGGCGGATTCCCCACAGGGGGAGGAAGCCAACGAAGGAGGATACTGGCTGCTAGTCAAGAAACACCGGTCTGCCCAGCTCTTGGACGCAGCCAGAGCTGCGAACTGATCGAGAGCAGATAGAGGATGCGCGTTCGACGGTGTTTACCGTGCCAGTTGCACATGGGAGGTTATTCAATTTCCTTGCGCGTTGCGCATGGCCACTCAGGTGTAGGTTTTAGTCAGTCGGATTCAGCGAGGTTTCGGCGCATCGGAAGCCTTCTTGCTACCCTGCAGCTGCCCTGGATCGCGATTGGGGGTTGGAACATGTCTCCGTTCGAGATGTCCAGGTCAGGTCGTTGGAAATGATTGGGGGGCCCATCATTCGATCAGATGTCGAGTTCACGTGCGCGCTTGCAAATAGTGA